ACCTGGAAGGAGCCAATTACAATACCTCAGCAGGACCTCTGGGTTCAGGTTTTCAGCAGCAGAGGCCAAAAGGAAAACGCTGGGGCGCATGGTTTTGCTATCAACACCAAAAAGCATACAGACTCACCTACAGAAAAAAACCTTTGCTGTTCGAGCAAGTCCCAGATAGATGCTGGTCATACTTCTGCCCAGCACCCCTCTGTCTGAAGCAGATGCAGGGGGTGAGGGAACAAGACAGGGAAAGCTAATTTGAAAACAGGGCAGTAATATACTGTGGGGCTGGGCTCTCTAGGGCCTGCAAACGTGTTTATGGCTCCTCTCTGCAAAGGGAAAGCTTGAGAAAGGCCTTTGTTGCTATGGAGAGAGCCATAGGGATGACCACCCTTCCCTGTCCCCAGCTCCCTTCTATTGGCCGTGAGTGGCCAAGACACCTGCAGAAGATAGATGGGCAGACATCCAGGAGGCCAGTTATAGAAATAAACATCAAGGGTTTGTTTTTATATAGATACTTTAAATGCTCACAAGCCCAGACCCGTCCTCGGCTGCTAACGTTAGCGGATTACTCATTCTTCCTTCCAATCACGTCATGTGCAAGGTTCCAGGTGGCTGTGGGGTATTTGCTCACAACGGCTACCGCTGGTCTCCCTGAGAGCTGTTTATTTTTCCAGGCCTCAGGTCATTACATCACCCCGCGGTTTCTGGGCAGGCCAAGAGTGCTGGTTTGGGGGGGTGGGGGATCCGGCCGGGAGGTGCAATTGCCTCAGTGACCCCACATCCCAGTCACAGCAGCTGTCCCGGCAGGAGCTTCCTGGCGAGGAAGGAGCAATCCCAAATGCAGCCAAGGGGAACACAGCAGGCCCAGAGGAGCAACGCTCTGACACTGACACCGGCAGGTAAGGGTCAGGGGGCTGCAAACCCCTTACCTGAGACATGGATGGTGAGTTAGGCAAACGCTCCCACGTAGGAGGAGACGGGGTCGTTTTCATGACAAAACTTACAAGAAACGCATTTCCACCCTGTGTCCCTGCTGACAGCTCTGTCTCCCGGAGACAGGGTTTCCACAAGACACTGCCTTCGGGGACACCCGGAAGGAAGCTGTGCGGGACAAAGAGGCAAGGGAGGAAAAGCGAGTCCTTCTGGATTTCACCCACAGTGCCAGGTTCTAGGGCCTTCCTGAAATCCCAGATGAGATCGTGAAAGAAGTTAACTAGGAAAGGTGGCAATAAAGGAAAGAAACAGATGGACAAGGAAGAAGGGAAGTCAAATGACTCCACCAGTGGCCCCGAGAGCTAGCCACGTAGGGGCAGAGGGAAAGGGCCTATGTGCCTTGAGGGCATTGCTATGCTGCTCCAAGAGAAGAGTTAAGGCTCACACGACCATACGTCCTGAGAGTATTTTCCCAGGCCAGAAAGCACAGAATTTTGTCATACTGGGGGGTGGGGGTGGGGGTGGGGGGTGGAAATCAAGAGGGAGAGAGACTTTTGTAAATCACAGCTGTATGACAGTGTCTGCACCCAGTAAAATTAGAAGCCGTGGGATATGGCGTATGGGACGGAGAATGAGACAGCCTAGTTTTCGTCATTTCGTTAATCTCTCCGCTCTTTCCTATAAAAATGCAGATGACTAAAAAGACTTTTAAGTTCTAGTTATATCAAGAAATGCCTTAGTAGCTAGCCTCTGATACCAAAAACTCCGCAAGAGTTCATATTTTCTTACAAAAGCAGAACAGAGTCTCTGGCCAACACTCATATGTGGGAAGACACCTGCTCTCAGGTTCTAGGGCGTCGGCTGGCCAGGTACGTCGTCCTCCTGAAAGTGGGAGAGCTCCTGGTGCAGCGGAGACAAGGATCCGAGAGAGAAGTCTGAAGAGGCAAACCCGTCAACGCCGAGGCTGCCAAGTACTCAACAGGCGACACTGACCATGGTGAACACAAGACAAAGCCTTAAAAACAAGGATCGACACCTCCAGGAGGAGAGAAGGAGACAGGATAAGTCTGCAGGCGTATGCGTCATGTTATTGCAAAGCTTCAGCTGCCCCGTGGAACCTTTCCAACATCAACAGTCCCCAGGCCAGAAAACAAACCTGGCGTCACAGGGTCTGAGTGTGAAAGACGGATGTTTGGGGTGTAGAGGGAACTGGGATGGCCTTCTTGCCTCCGAGAGCGAGTGGGAAGAGCTCTCACCTAGACTGGCTTCTGAGGCCCACTTCACCCTCCCCAGAGGGGGGTGCTGAAGCTCACCTAACCCAGAGTCTTCTGGCAAACTCTGACAGGAAACCTGCCTCGGGGGCTTGACCCAGAGGCTCCAGTCCATAGCAGAGCCAGCACCCCAGACATGAGTTATCATTAAGGTAGATCTGACTTCTCAACAAACCAAATGGAATAGCATGACCGGTGGCTAGCAGAGAAGCCGTTATTTTTTAAATTGTTTATGACACACCTACTATGTGTTAGGCATTTCATATATTGTTGAATCCTCAGAAAAACCCTGCAAGGCGCTAATAACTTTGTTTCACGTACGAACTTTCTCGAGGTCACTTAGCTCTCACGGGAAGCTAGCACTGGAAGCCAGGTCTGTGCTATCCCATTTATTTACATATTGTCTATGGCCGTTTTTGTGCTGCGACAGTAGAGTTGAATAGGTGACAGACTGTCTGGCCTGCAAAACCTAAAATGTTTACTATCTGGCTGACCCTTTACAGGAAGCAGTTTGCTGGCCTTTGGCATATAGGAATGAAATAGAAGCATTTGGATGGGAATGTGTGCCTGGGGGGTGTCTTTTTTGTGGTTTTTGGCCCCTCTCATAGACCAGGCAGAAGGAAGGGCCATGCCTCCTGAGATGTTTCCCAACATGCCCAGGGAAGCCTGACTCAGCCCAGGAGCTCTGGGCAGCTTACGTAGCCCTGCCCAGCACCCCCCACCCCCCAACATGAACCTTTGCCAAGCGTTAACATTCTGTTCTAGTGCACACTCTCACAAATGAGAGGTCTGACTTTTGTGGGCAAGGGTAGGGGCTCATTTGTACGTAGAAGGTGGTAAACCTTGTAATGGCAACAGCATGGGCTTTGGTATGGGACAAACCTACAGACCTGGCCTGGGCTGAGTCAAGCTTCCCTGGGCACGCTGGGAAACATCTCAGGAGGCATGGCCCTTCCTTCTGCCTGGTCTATGAGAGGGGCCAAAAACCACAAAAAAAGACACCCCCCAGGCACACATTCGCATCCAAATGCTTCTATTTCATTCCCATATGCCAAAGGCCAGCAAACTGTTTTCTGTCACTTCCAGTGAGGTACCACAGGCACCAAAACCACCTCTCTTTGACTTATATTTGCCTGACAGCAAGAGGGGAGGCGGGAAAAGGTGCTGCAAAGAAGCTTTTGCTCACAATGACAGTCACAAATTCTTTCCTGATTGAGAGATTCTCGCGGTAAGCAGTATCATTAATATTTCCATTGTTCCCTACCTACCATGATGATGAGAATAACAAAGATAGGTACTTACCGTTTATCCTGCACTTACTATCACTTAGCCAGGCATTGGTTAAGTTCCACACAGACAGTAACTCAGCTAACCTTTAACCACAGTCCCCTGAGGGAAAGATCATAATCCCAGATAAAAACTGAGGCTGGGGGGGGGGGGGGGGGGGGGGGGGATTATGTGCCTTGACTGAGTCACTCACTAAGTGTCGGAGCCAGGAAGCGAGTGCAGGTTTTGCCGATTCCAACGTCTATGCTTTAACCATGGCACGATTGTGTCAAAGACTCTGGCCCACAGGATTCACAAGGTCTTCTTCCCACCCCACCATCCCATACCTCCATCTTTGATAAAAAAGGGAACCAGAGGGGCGCCTGGGTGGCTCAGTAGGTTGAGCGTCCGACTTCGGCTCAGGTCATGACCTGTGCTTACAGCTCAGGGCCTGGAGCCTGCTTCGGATTCTGTATCTCCGTCTCTCTCTGCCCCTAACCCATTAGCATTCTGTCTCTGTCTCCCTCAAAAATAAATAAAACATTAAAAAAAAATTAAAAAAAAAAAAGGGAACCAAACACATGTAGCCCAAGTCACAGAGAAAATCAACCAATGCTGTACGGATCTACCTCATGGGCTAACTCACTTCATGCACTCAAGTTTCCCACTACCACCTTTAGGACAAAGCTGGCATACAGATAAACCTAAAGGGGGCCAATGAGAGCCCACTCATTAATTAATGGTCTTGTAAAACTCTGCCCATCAGTTCAAAGGGATGTGTCTTTTGTTTATAGACCTTGATATCCATAAGGAAAAAATGATATGGCTGAAATGAAATTCACCAACCAGGCATAAATTATGCAGAGGGGCATTTCTCACAATGAGGTCTTAGGCTAAAAGAAGGAGGATTTCCCCATGATAGAGATACAGATTGGGTTTGTTAATACATTTTCCTGTTGGTGGACTTCTGGTCTTTACTGATGGTAGATGAACTTTATTGCTTTTGTCTTCATTGATGATCAATGAACTCTACAAGTGAGTCCTACAAATCTAATCACCCTTCAAAAATTATCACCTTTCCACAAGGGGTTCAGCCAGCACCAAAACTTGACCACTCATAAGACCCTCAAAAGATCATATCAGAAAATACATGACTGTAAGCAGCCATTTTGAGCCTTAAAAAACGCACAGAAGCAAGTCTCTTATGGCTTGAAGTCCAACTTTTCCATGCCAGGCCATTTTTAAAAATTCTCTGCCTGGCATATAAAGAGCCACTTGAAAGTATTAAAACATGTAGTCAAAAGATTTTTTTGCTAAAAGGATCAAATACTCACGAAAGACGATCCCTGACATACTAACTGAAGAAAATTAAAGTTGGAGGGGATTAACTCGTCTAATCTCATTTTATAGCTGTAGAAATTGAAGATAAGACAGGTTAAAGGACTTGCCCAAGCCCACACAACAGGTAGTTGTGGAGTAACCACAGGGCAACCACAGGCGAATCGGCATGTATACAATCCCAGGCAGATCATTTACCTGAATTTCTTACATTGGTGTTGTTCAGTTTGGAGTCCTTGATTACCAAGTGCTTAATCCATAGAGTGGGGGCCGTAATTTCTGAAAAAAAAAAAAAAAAGAAAAAGAAGAAGAAGAAGGGAGAAAATAAAGTCTGGGCAAAGGGAGTAGATAACTTGTAGTGCAGCCCCCAGACTTCAGGAGCTTTTTCTGAAGCCTGGGGCATCAAGGCTTGGAGCTTTCTCCCTCATTCCACATCCACTTTGTCCCAATGCCCTCTCCCTTCTCAGTAAGGAAGCTCCTCTACCCGCCAGCTCACAGGAGCCAACGAGGGCCTCCCATACTCAGAGGCAGAGTGGTCTAAGTCCAGAGGCGCTGAGCCGCTCCATCCAGGAATAAAAATATTATCCCAGGAGGTGAGGAGCATGGGCCCAGCCAAGTCTCTCTCAGCTGCTTCCCTGGAAGAAGATTTAAAGGGGATAAATCAACAAACGAATGCCAAACAAACCACAGAGACCATTTTGGAGGAAACGGCTGAGCCACAACAGATTTCAGCTTGCTGAGACTCTGTTCCACATGGGAAGGAAAGTGATGAGTCCAACGTGTGCATCAATACCTTTCCTAATGGATTCTCACTGAACAGAGGCTGAATCCCTCCATCCAGAGAGCTTGGGGGAACCTCTAGGGCCTTCAGGGCTTGGGTCGCTCAGCGGACAAGTGGTATGGGAATCAGGAGAACCCTGATCAACTTTAGAGTCATGAAGTCTTCAGTGGGATTGTTGGGGCGATCTCCCAAGGTGACACGGTCTCCACCTCCCACCTGATCCCCCAGGATCCCAGACCTGCCAATAATCCAGGAGATTTGTGGATCACAGAAACATCTGAATTTCTAGGCATGAACACACATATGTTTCACTAAATGACCAGTTGTAAAGGACAGCTCGCATTCAATCCTATCTAGAGCTGAGCCTGTGCTAGAGACATCCCTAGCCACAGTACCAACCAATGGCATAATTTCTTTTTACTCCTGTCTCCCTGTCCAGTCTCGTGATTTAGGCCTGGATACACTCAGCCGAAAGCTGCTCAGAGGTGGCTGCATGTTGCACTCAGAGTCAAACCTCATTGTCAGACTTTCTAGAAATTGCACTCTGCCAAGCTTCCTGCTCTTCTTCATGGGAACTTGGAGTACACAGCAAAGCATCCTGAAGAATGCAGGCCAGGAGCAACCCAAGCTCAAAGAGAGGCCAGCCTTCTGCACTCCACACCTCACCTGTCATTCCTCATACCTCCAGGGACATCCAGCCTCTATCTTGCTACCAGCCACACTATTTCTCTTGCCCTAGAATTCTCCTCTTACAAATGTCTTGACTCAGCTCTCACGGTCCAACTTAGCTAAACCAGGTCCACTAACCAATCCCTTTCCCCCTACTTTCCTACAATACCCCATCCCCACCATATGCTCCCCTCCCCACCACCCCAACTACAATGCCCTGATTCTTCCCATCTCCTTTCAAGATCCAGTCCACGTTCCATCTCTTGACACAGTCTTTTCCCAGACCATGGTGATCTCTTTCTCCCTTAAATGTCCATTATAATAAAAACTGAGACCGTGTAATTTAACACATAAAGTTCTCTGATAGTTGCCATTGTCTTGAGAGCAAAGGCTTCATCTCATCTAATCCTCCATTGTCCCCCACAGGCCTAGCACAACGCTGGGCACAGAGAAGGAACTTGTAAGTGTCGGTTCATCTACTGAAGGGACAATGCTGGCCTGTCTTTCTCAGCCATGGCTCCTTGGTCTTGGCAGCTCAAAGGGTCCATCCAGGCTGTGTTATTGTTGGACATCAGCAGCCAGGCAGGAAGCCTGGCTAGAACAGAGGACCTTTCCAGAAGTAGAGAGTGTACCAGTTCCTGGGAGGATTTGCATTTTTTAAAAGGTTAAAACAACCCAGACTAAACTGGGAAAAAATTGAAATTAAAAAAGAAAAAACTAATAATAAAGCTTACACAAACATCCAAAGAAAGGATGTTCCTCAAATCTAAACACGGGTGGGAGAATTAGAGTCGTAAGTAATAAAAGAGCTTACCATCTCCATCGAATACTGGCTGAGTCTCCATCGTGGGTGTCGGCTTAGACCCGTCATCTGAATTGAGGGTTAAAAAGAATCGAAAAGAGACTACCATTATTGAGGTAAATACTATCTACTCTCCAGCACTGTTGAATGGTTGGGGTTTGCACATGGCCCGGCCAAGTCCCAGTGAAGAGACCAAAGAGAAAGGAAAGATAGAAAGCAAGAACAGGAAGGAAAAAAGAACCACAGAGACACGCCAAGAGTAAGACAAACCCAGCTGTGTGTTCACCATTCCAGGGGAAGGACAAAAGGGAGCTCAACTGTCATGGCTTTGGAGGGTCCTCCCTCACTAACCTGCATGTACCAGCATGATGACTCTGTCAGCCCTGGTCCTCCCCGCAGGAAAACTGAGGTGGGGGGCAGGCATCTTCCCCAGCAGCCCTGGGTTTTGCCCAGGCAGGTTAGGATAAGGTTAGCATACTTGGTGGCATAAAATTCTGGTGTCCCCAGTTCCGTCCTGCCCTCTTATGAATGGTACCAGCATAGTACCTAGTGGCCCTCGTTGAAGAGCTTCAGGAAAACACCAGACCGTGGTGCTATTCCCTCTTGAACACCTAGCTATTTCTCTGGCCTCACCTAAAAGGGAAGAGAAGGGCAGGAGGGCCCATCCTGTCTCCAGGATGCCAAAGTGAAGAGAATCAGGAACCCTTAGAACATTTTTTTAACTGTGAAACATCATGCCCTCCAATTCCCAGTGAGGTGGGGGCAAACAAAATGGAAGGGGATGTGGGAAACTGCACCCTGGATTTGTTCTGAAATTTGTACCAGAGATGATGGGAGCAGGAGGTGCCCAGTAACAAAACGCTAATCTACATCATTCCAGCAACATTGGCAGCTCCCTGCGGGGCAAGACCCTCTGTGGGTCAGGAGCGAGTGTAGACTTTACCCACCTTTCAGGACTCTTGAGTTTTTTTCATCAAGATCCCCAACCTTAGTGTCGGGCAGTGTCTCTCAACTTCTTTTCATTATCGCCCACCTAGACCTTCTCTCTCTCTCTTTTTTTTTTTTTTAAATCATCTACCTAATGAACTATCAATAACACAGGTACACTGTGTTTCTGTTGATGTGGTGTATGTATAGCTGTGCTTTCTATGTAAAAAGAGCAAAGAGTTCTTTTTCCTCCTGCCGCCCCCAATCCATTTTCACCTGCTTGGTATCTCTGCCCCCATTGAGAATGCATAGATGAGAGATTTCTCTGTGTTCTCCCTGGGCGGGGGTGGGGGAAGAAGAACCCCAGGGTCTCAGGCAGTGTGATGATTACACCATCCCCCAGAAATCTTCTACAACTGAACACTCTATTCTCCAAGCATCGACTATTTTGTTGTCATTTTATTCAATCAGTCATTTATTTCTATTTGCTTGTTTGTTTTGCCAATGGCTCTTATTTTTAAGCTTTCGGTTTTGTTTGTTTATTTTAGCAGAAGAATAATTCACATGCAGTATTGTATTCGTTTCAAGCATACAGCCTACAGTAAGGCTAGTGACTGTCACCACACCAAGTTGTTACACTATTATTGACTATATTCCCTATGCACGTTACATCCCCGTATCTTATTTGTTTCATAACCAGAAGGTGGTACCTCTTAATCCCCTTCACCTATTTCATTAACTATGGAGAATGCAAGTTCTCAGATAGTCTCTGCGACGCCAGTCAGATCACCCATAATAACAACCCTCCACCATTTGGAGCTCCCGAGACCTTTGGCCGACTTCCCTGCATCTTATCAAGGAGGGAGGAAGAACACAGAGTTCTGATCCCTTTCTTGCACCAACAACCCACGCTTGGGATCTTAAGACTGGAGAGCTATAGAGACCCTAATCGTGGCTGGAGGCTGAGGCCAGCAATCTGACAGTTGTGTGACACCTGACCCTGCTATTATTCCCCTGTGCTGACACCAAGACCCCACTCCGACAGGGGCCAAGGCGATCCCCAACTATGTGACAATCATTCCAGGGAATGAGATATAGCAGAGGGAGAGGAGTTAACTAGCTGGACATCTTATTTGCCTCACACTGGAGTCCTGAACAGGCATCTTTTGATGCAAAACTGTGGAAGTTTGATCTGGAAGTCGTTGAGGGAGAATAAACACAGAGCAGCACCACACAATGTCATTTTGTTTAATAGCATCACTTCCCCTGACTCTATTAACACCTCTTTCCATTGAATTCAATGAGCCACTGAATGAAGTCTTTTGGCAGCTGCAATGCACATTTGGTTGCTCCTGCCGGATGCAGAGTTCACAGTCTAAATAGCCTAGTGTGGTGTGCTCAGCCTCTCCACACCGGGTGGCTTCACTTTAGAAGTCTTAAGGGCAACAAAGGGAAAGTGAGAAATCAAACACTCCCAGGAGGACAACGGTGAGAACCCAAGTGAAAAGCGGTTCATGCAGCATTTTCATATTCAACTAAAATCCTCCCGTATTCCAAGAGCTGTAACTCTCTCTGCAGCAGGATAAGAGAAAGCATTCTGCTTATTTCGCCCGTCATCCAGATGAGAGTCTGGGACTGCCCATCTGGTGTAGCAATCAGCAGAGGTCTGTTGCTCAAGGAGAGGAAGAAGTGTTTCCAGTCTCCTGGGGGAAGTTCTGCACTTCTGCAGGCCAAGGACCTCCGCGATTACCCAGATGCAGGCCCAGAGCCCACATCGCATGAAGCCACGTGCAGGGAGTGGATCTTCCTGCAGCGTAGGGTCACCAAGGGTGAAGAGATACAGCTGCGCTGCCACAATGGAGGCCCTAGATGGAAATCTTTATGAAGTGAGAAAAGACAAAGTGCCCTGCCGCCAGGAGAGCCACCTGTGAAACTCAGCTGCCCAAAGGCTGAGAAGCCAAGCCAAAGCCAACAGGACCCTCTGACCATCATCTCCGGGCACCTGGGCACCTGGCTTCCAACCCAGCAAACAAGCGCACCCTTCTACCAAACATAGGTCCAAGGCCTGGGTCCAAGGTCCACATCAGTGCTGCTTCCTGGCAAGCCTTGGGACAATACCAGGTCCCACACTGGGCCCCGGGGAGAGGGAAAAGCTTCCACTCAATTCCCCAGTCTCTAGTGGGGTCACACTCCAGATTCTGGCTTTACATCCCATAAACTGAAAACTGAACCCTGCACTTTTCTTCTCTGGGCAGGGATATCCTCTTCTAAAAATGAAGTATGCCTGCCTTCCCAGTCTCAGGATACTGTGCAGGAGTAAGGACTTTAAAGGCCTTAGGACACTAAGTATGAGCAAGGACTTTAAAGGTATAAATACCATGAGAATAAACCATTTTATCCAACCACTTACTTTTAAAATTGGATTTACAAAATTAAAATCCTATCAAAGTTTTTAATTAAAAAAAATAAAGTAAACCTTACAACTCAGTTAGAAGATGAACAGCCTAATTTTAAAGTGGACAAAATATTTTAATAGACATTTCACCAAAGAAGATGCAGGGACAGCTAATGGATACATGAAAAGATGCTCAACGTCACTAGTTGTCAGGAAAATGCAGATTAAGACCACAATGAGGTGCTACTATGAACCTGCTAGAATAGCTAAAATTTTAAAAAATAGAAAATACCAAATGTTGGCAAGGATGCGGAGAAACTGAAACCTTCATTCATTGCTGTGGAGTAGCCATGTTGGAGAACGGTTTGGCAATTTCTTTTTTTTTTAATTTTTTAAAAAATGTTTAAAAAACATTAGACACAGAATCTGAAGCAGGCTCTAGGCTCTGAGCCATTAGCACAGAGCCCGACGCAGGGCTCGAACTTATGAACCATGAGATCATGACCTGAGCCAAAGTCAGACGCTTAACAGACTAAGCCACCCAGGTGCTCCTGTTTTTGCAATTTCTTTAAAATGTTAAACATAAACTTATCATTCTACCAGACATTCCACTCTTGAGAAGCCAACCAAGAGAAAGAAAAACATGTCCACTCAGAGGCATGTATGCCAATATCCATAGCAGCATTATGTGTATAGCCTCAAACTGGAAACAATCCAAATGTTTGTCGACTGGCGAACACATAAACGAATGGTGATATATCCAGATGATGGAATATTACTCAGCAATGAAAAAGAATGAATTATTAATACGTGTGACAATATAAACCTCAAAAGCATTATACTAAATGAAAGAAGCCATAAGCCATGTGCAAATACTACATATTGTATGATTCCACTTCTATGAAATGCCTAGTAAAGATCAGCCCATAGAGATAGACAGCAGCTGTGTAGTTGCCTAGGACTGGAGGAGGCAGTGGGTTATAACTATAAATGGGTACAAGGTTTCTTTTTGGAACGATGGAAATGTTCACCAGTAACGGCTGCACAATGCTCTGTGCTAAATCCAGTGAACTGGACGTTTATGATGGGTAAATTTTATGGCATGTAATTATGCTTCAATAAAGCTGTTAAAACAAAAGGGGAGGTAGTGCTGTTATTTCAGTGATTCTTAATCTGGGTGGAGACCCTCCCATGCACTTTAAAGAAAAGCGTATCTGAAATCTCTGTTTACATATATGCAGAGGACGATGTGATGCCTGATGCTCATTGTCGGTGGTTCTTTTGGACCTCAAATAGTAAGACTTTAGTTCTCTTTAATACCACAATACTCTTCCAGAACAAGGAGAAGAGGAGAGAACACTGGAAAAAAAAAAAAAAAAAAAAAAAAAGCCAATTCAAAGATTATCACTTTTCTTCCAGGCCAAAAAAAGAAAAAAAAAAAAAAAAGTAAGTTTGGAAACACGAAAAAAGTAAAAAAAAAAAACAATTAAAAAAACAAGGCAAGCTTACACGAATGAATGAATGAATGAATGAGGCAAACCTGACAGAGCATCTCAAGGATAACGTCAAGATCAGCAATAATGGTACCACATTTTGCAACACTCAAGTTTTTGGCAGGTGGTTTTCCTCATCTGTTCTCACCACTGGCCAGCACAGAGGAAGCCACCAGGCAGATAAAAAGAGATCGAGTCTTGGGGATAGAAAGTGATGTGCTCAAGCCCCAAAGGAGTGAGCAGCAGTGGAAATG